TAAATATTAAAGCATATCCAGCCTTCAAACTTGGACAAGACAACGCTAGCTCTACAGCTTCAATTTCTTCTTGTAGTAATACTTAACATACAAAAGCAAATACCGTGACCTTTACCTTTGACCCGAAAATATAACCGAATTTAGTGGGTTGGACAGTGGGTGTAAAGTGTATATGCACTCGCTATTATAATCTGTTAATAATCTGTTAATTTGACCTTTGACACCAGACACTTATGGATCACATCGAAACCACGTATATCAATTTTTAAGTCTATGGTTATTTCCACACCAAGTTTTCGCGTTTTAACATATATAAATACGCACATACGTACACACACATACGGGTCTGAACGCCACAGTCTCACGGGCTGGCACAGGTGAATTATGAGCCCCAACCAAATAGAAACGTCCATATTCAGTTCTGACTCTCTAGTGTATGTGTGTAAAAAGTCGTCTCCAATCCCTTCGGTTCGATATTCACAGGGAAGCCTGAATGAAGCACAGTTGTGCTAAATAGCTAGGAAAGAATAAATCAGTTCAATTTTCTACGGCGAACATTCTACGTGGAAAACTCATTAATAATGTTATCCTGGTTGCACCGTATACAAAATAATACACGCCACGTAAGACCTAACGTATTGGGAGACAGGTGGTGTAATAACTGCAGTGATAGTGAAAGATGAATTGGAACAAGCTGTAAATAAATGTATATAAATATAATATCTACAGTACTAGAGCACACGATGTTCTATTTGATATTGTCAAATACTGTAGTTGTATAGACCGGAAAAACAGTGAACCCGATTAGGAGAGAAAACAGTGAACCCGTTCTCAACGCGTTCTTGGCAGTCAGTGCGGGTCTGGGGCCCATTAGGGCGCCCTCTTGTGCGGAACAAGCAAATGATATCGCTTCGTTCGTTTTCCAAGAAAAAATAATGATTAGCATTGACATTTGCCATCAACAGGTTCAAGTCGAGCAATGTGTTCTCTGGTTCAGTGTTTAGTAAACGACAACACATTTGTGAAATAGCCTGTCCATGGGGTATTGTGGTAGGAAAGAGCAGTCTGACAAGACACGCATAATATAACACATTGCTTTGGCGACTGATATCTACACAAGGAATGTATTCAAAGCACCGTTACTGTTTGTTGTATATAAGGTTAACTTTTATTTCAACATTTGCATACATAAACAAAATGTAAAGCGACGCTTACTTACATACATATACATAAATAAATTGATAAATACATCTCTTTAGGTTCAAATGCATGCAGCTACGTATTACTGCGCAAAATTTCATACACGTGGAAGCCATTGTCAAATAATTTAACCAATTTCCGTAAAAATGTCAAATTTTTGGTATAATAACGGGCGTCTCTGTGCGCTGTATACTCCCAGCTATTTGTAAGAGAGTTATGCGACTAGTAGAATCGATATTCGACACGCACACCTGTTATTTGTGCATGACAATAACACCGAATACACGGCATGTTAAAGACTATGTTGAATGAAAGTAAACGTGCATTGCATGTGTGTCATACGAACGCTTACTTACAGCACTGGGCGTCCGAAAAAACTGCTCAATAAACAAGTCAAAGGCCCTCCGTTCCTGATGGTGAAACTGTTATTAGTGCCAGTGACTTGACATACAATACAGCGTACTAACAGAACAAGGGAACGTTATGAACCAACGTTTGTGGTTAACTATATACAATACTTTGATCACCTGAATATGCTCAAAATATACGTTTACATAGTTCGAATCTAATATAAATATTTTATTCCCTATTTGCCGTATAATTGTAAACTTTCCGTATGAACCAATACGCGGGATTACTGATGATGAAAGTGTGATTCTATACTTTACAGGGGATCCATGTCACTTTACGATTCGTCTGAATCAGTTCACTCGATTATAAGATCAAGGCTTGTCCTCTTCTTGCAACTTTTTAAAACAAACACACGTAGCCGAGCAATGCAGTCTGGGCGATAATATTGGAAGACAGATTGGAACAAAGCTAGTCCACGATTATACAAATACAGTACCTATTGGAGCATACATTATTTCATTCCAGTTTGTGTTACGTTCTAAACAGATTGCTGGTAAACATAATAGTGTTGCTATGACTTTCAATTCAAAAATTTAAAGATTTCTGGAGTTCTCAGCATCATCTTTCAGCAGAATGCTAAAAATTATTGTATTTACATACACATGTCACGTGCATGAGTGGATTATTCAGTATAACACATGATATATGTCCACAAACAAAGCACATGCAAAGAATTACGGTATAGCGTCTGAGTATTTTTTTCGTGACCATTTTTTCATGAAATACAATAATATGTGGTCGATACATAGATTTAAAAATGGTTTAGCACTTCGTTTTGTTTCTGAAATTAAATAAAATATGGTAAAACGACACAGTAATGTTGTCACCAATGTGTTTACATGGGAATTACATGGCACGGATTCATGTACTTAAACTGTAGTTCATTTACACGCAAAGACTACAGGTACATAACAGTACGTACTAACTAATAAAGTACTCATAATTGGTTCATATATTGCACTATACAAGTATTGTCAAGATGTAAATAGTCAGTTTGCATCAAATGTCCTCTAGATAAGTTGAATAAAAACAACTTGTAATCCGCCTATAAACATGAAAGAAATACACTAAAGTCACACGTGAATCTGCCTTGCTTGCGAGATGTCAATACGATATAAACACTACGGCAGCCTGGTGGCTTCGGAAATTACCGAACGGCTATGATTTCTGCAATATCGTATTCTATCATACACATCGGAAATTCTTCGTTTTAGTGTCGACGCAAATTGTATTCTTTTTGGAATGGCAGGAAGGTAATGTGCTAGTGGTTCGTTCTGATGGACTGTTTCCAGTAATAAGCTAGCAGGATTCCCGTCACTGTGTAGTCTCTCGATGTTCGCGACTGTTGATTTGCGAAATATGCAAATAGAATTCAACATCTGTTGATGGAATGCAACAAATCGACTCGCTTCGTTGACCCCGTGAGGATTTCGCATGAGTTCATAACCATCAATCAGACCACTTTCATTATCGATTAGCCAGATTGAATTCGTTCTTTTGTTCGTTTTGAGGTTGTGAATATATTCACTCATAATGCTAGGTCGATTTTCCTTGGTGGCAGCATCTTGGTTGTTTGCTACCCTGTGAAATAGATATTAAAAGTGTTATCAGATCATCTAGACGGAATACTTTAGAATACGTTTGCAGTTACCAGATCATTCAGTCACGTGATATTTATTTCCAAATGTGGCGTGCATTCATATCACAAATTCGGCAGAAAATATACAGTTTAAGGTAAAATCTGGGAAACGTCTGTTGCAAAAATCGAACGATTTGATTTTGAATGTGAATATCTTTTTTATAACACTATATCAAAATGCCGATCTTTAAGAGGGGAATTACTCAATTGTCGAATCCGACGCGATGTTGTAACGCTACTATGATGCTTCAGTTGATTACAATTGTTGAGGTTCATGTTTCTTATGGCACTGGTAGTGCTTCTAATTCAAATTATGCTAAAATATGCCTTGGAAAATATTGAAAAGAATTTTGAAAGCAGTGTAGTCTGATCATGCTATTTTTGCATTGTGGTGGCGAATTACTAATTATTTCTATTCATTTATTTTAGCAAATACACTGATTGTTATCCCTATTACTATTGCTCATGTTTAAATTACTAATAATAATATTAGTTTGTCATAAACCCATTTGTGAGACTGTTGCATATACAAGCTACTATCATACCAACGCGTATTTTACATGCAAATATTTAAAGTAGTGGTATTTTGTAGCTTATTCACGTGGTTATTCATTAAGTTAGTACAAATAATGATAAATTCATTGATAAAACGAATGCCTTATTCGAATGAAGTTAAGTTAATTTATTTAATTTATCTTTATTTTATTTATCTCTGCGTGTCATATTGTCTCTCAATGCAACTTTCTTACTGTAAATTCGACGTTATTGTTCACTCTGGCAGCTTTTGGCAACATTTTTGTACATATCGAAATCTTAACAAAATTCTAATTTTGAAATAAAAACTTACATTTGCCTTATAGAAGAACGCCCTCAACACTAACTCGGGTATTTTAAAAACGTTTGTTGTCATTTTAGGCAGGGAGATTTTGGATAGCGCCACCACAAGCTTACGACTTACAATGTCACGCCAAATAGAGGTGAATGGCAAGTGTAAAATCATTACAATAAAAAATACATTACACGTGATTATAAAAATTCACGTTACCGGTCGTTTTTAGTTGGAATTAACACAAAACCACGGTTTTGATATCAAATAATCATTGGAGGCAAATTCTAGCAATTGCATTGTAACACTGCGTGCATACTTTAACTGTGTTAAACATATACACCATATATATTCTGTGTACAATATGGAGAATGGCCACTCGTTATCACAAACTGTCTATACCTGTCTCGTGTTTGTTTGCATACATCGGCCGATATCTAGACAGCAATCGACATATTCAGATTGATTACAATCAGGTATCGGTCTGTGTCCTCTGTTGGTGGGACCGATACAACGCTCGCGTATTTCGACAGATAGCAAGCATTCGATAACTAGCCTGTTCTAATATGCAGCACAAATATTGCTACTCAACAATAGAGAATTGTGTACCCATAGTAACCGCAGGTACACGCGTTGTTTTCACGCTGATGTTACAAAATCTCCTATTGTCATCAGTCCGCTTGTTTTGGGCGTGTATTGGACCGTGTTATAATCATATATACTATTAATATCGTACACGTATTCTATCATCTGTGCTTGTATCACGACTGCACAATGTTTTACCACGTCAATGCTATGTTATGGTATCATTGAACGGTGACGTAATGCCTCGCCGCTATACAATCATATGCTTTATATAAATGCACCGAAGACAGCGGGTTGGTTAGGAAAAAGTGCTGAACTATCTGTAAAAAGCTTTCGCGTATTCCTTTGGGTTGAGTCGCTCACAACGTCTACAGAGTAAATGTTGTCCGACAACCGAGTAGAGCTTCCTATGTCTACGCAGCTTTTATAGCAATTGCATGGATGATAATTCACTAAATACATTACATTGGCATATGTCTTTTTATGGTTTCATATACACATGGTAATAAAGGGATTGTTAATCACTCTGTTCTTCCGGTTAGGGTAACAGCAATCGATCGCAGCTGCCACAACCATAAGCGATTCTACATTAAAACACGTACCTATCGTAGTTTCCAATGATATAATCAAACACTATAAGGTCAGACCATTGTAATAATTCAACAAGGTCGGATGTTGACATTGTGTGTAACAGATCGTTCTCAGCTGACTTCTTTGTTATAACATCTAAGAGTATACGGGGCATCCTATCCCTGCAATCAGAAAACATAGCATGATGAAAATATACCGGACGATATAATGTTCTAATATTAGCCTGATAGAGGGCGTCATGATAAACATTTCATAACCCGCCTGTAATTTGATATGATGCTATCAATCTGCAATCTAAATCATTAATAACTTAGACAATGGTTATAATTAATACAGTTAGCTGTTTGATTCTCTTTGAATTGATGCGATCTGAAATGTACACATCCAACAGGGCAGATGCATGAGTTGGTCGATAGCAGCAGAGCAGTCGAATGAATCGATCGTTTATGTATTAATTTGACAACTAAAACACTGCTGTCATGGAAATGATGAAGTTTAATGTCTGAATATATCCAATTCAAATTGAATGCAGAATCAAGTCAGCAGTTCAAAGATGGCACTAATTCTCGCATGAGGGCAGCGTCACAGTTCTTACATCCTTTGCAATGAGGAGTATGACCTTCAGGCCATATGAACAGTAACTGTTCCGTGAACTATACTATAACACACGTACATTGCATCAAGCATTTATAAATTCTCCACATATTTAAGATGAAGCTCCAATGAATTACCAAGTTCCCACGTAAGCTATTGCGCTTTTTAGTACATAATTGAAGCAAATGAAGTAGACGAGACACTGCCATCTGGGCAGGATAACGTCACGTAATCAGATAGAGTGGTATTCTGAAATTTGCATTCCACGTTGAGATTGTTCTTATACACCATTAGTGAGTAGGGCATATTTGGAGAAGGGATCAATGAGCTACCACGTTAGCACGCAGATTTAGTATTTGCTTAGAATAATAACGTGCTCGTTATATGCTTGACATCGTGCCTCTTCTCCATTAGTTATATTACAAATATTAAAGAATCAAATGACGATTTGAAATTTTTAAAAGGTTCAATCACTATTCGCCTGAAAATAGGAGAATATTCCACACGAATATTTTGATATTTATTATTCAATTTCAACTTATATTACTATATCACATATCTACTGAGAATAAAATAAATATATATATATAGTTTTATTTACTCGTGTTTATAATGTATATACTATAAAGGCAAAATACGAGGGCAATTCTGAAATAGACTGAAGAACCCAATGTACGAGGTGCCTCACTAGACTTGAATACTACCAACCACCTATTGAATATACATTCTAACGATCTCATACTTTTTAATGCATTCAACGAGTCTTGTCAATAGCCCCGGGCAGAGGTGGATGCAAGGTGTTCAATTAGACGGGTGTCCCTTTACAATGACGTCAATTCCGCGCTGCATTGTGGGATATAATTCTACGAGCAACGACGATTTTATAAGGGGTGTGCCATCTTTTGTGCTTCCCCTAAAACCGCAAAATTTCTTTCTGGCTAAAAAACACATGGTACACATGTGAACGTCGTGGTTGACTCGGGATGTTTTACTACTCCTACTAATATGAATAAGTACTGATCAACATATGAATATTCATGATCTAATCCCGAACAATCTACAGTCCAATGACTGATATCGATTCGAAGTTCAGGTACTGAAGTGTGCGTTTGAACGCGATATGTAGTACATATACGTCCAGACAAACGCCCAAGCATTCTGATTGGTCGAGAAGCTTTACTTAAATTGTTAACAGCTGACGATAGTATGACGTATTTATTGCGATTATTGTCTTGACAACGTCACGTGGGGTGTTTTATTGCCCGGTATTTTACATTCACGGTTGGTTATTTCAAATCATTGCACGTCAATTCTAAAATGGCTGGCTTAAGATATCCTCCCATAAATCGTATTGTAATGAGAATGAAGTTAATGTGATCAATTCCGATGAACGTAAATGTAGGGTACACACAACTCAGAAGAGTAACCAGACATTGCCATAAGACACGTAGCTGGTCTCAGTATCATGTGGTGTGGCATTGTTCGTCTGGGTAAACACAATTGCATATTGTATTCATGAAATGTTCGTATGCATTCGAAACGTACATACTAAGTCAATCGCACCAGACATCACAATTTCCTTCCCGTGGGTCTTCGCGCCCATACTCCTAAGTACCTCTCCAGTACCTCGCATACTCCCAAGTACCACTCCAGTACCTCGCATACTCCCAAGTACCTCTTTATTGAATGTCGATTATATGGTAATTCGACTTACTACGTACGTACGGTTATTTGTTCACATTATTGTACTTAAACACTACAAAAATAAAAATAAATTGTACTTTTTTTATTAAAATACAAACATGTTCACTAGACACGAGTATCGAACTTCCTGATATACAGAAACGAGCAAATATGAATGTTGTTGACAAATAGTACTAATAACTATTATCCGTGCTGAGTATGAATACAGTATTAGTGCAGGATGACTATGGGATACAAGCAGTGCGTGGAGCAGACGACACATTGATAACCTTTATCCAAAATAGTACAGGATATCAATATATATTTAATGGTTTAATGTTAGCTGACAGGCACCAAGACGATTACTATCGTTAACATACACTTCACAGTATATCGTAAGGACACACTTACTCTATATTGTACATACCTTTCCAGATTGTCTATCCATTGCACAAGGCCTACAACTACTCCTTGCTGCCACCCTGCATTAGAGATACCCACCATCTGTTTCTTCCACTGTACCGAGGTATGGTTAACTATTGATAACACGACTGCTGGCACATGTTCCATTCCCAGTAAGCGTGACATCCAAAATGAATATAGTTCACCTAATACAAATAATGATGAATATAATGAATAATGGCATAATGGACAGATATATTCCACCGTTCGGTACATAAAGGGTTGTTTCCATCTATGTGGAAGCCAACATTTGAAATTATAAGCGAGTGTGTGTGTAGGATTCTTTTTTCACGTCATTTCAAAAACAAGCGTTGCTTTAGAGTAGAGCAAGTAGACTCAAATTAATGGATGTATTATTCCGCACCAAAAACTAGTATGATCAAATACATATTTTTCCTAGAGGCTGACAAAAGTAAACCAGCCACAACAATGATGTTCCACACACGCAGGTACGTGGTGATGCCTGATATGCAACCTGTATATTCTAGCGAGTTAACTGTCGAATGTTTAACGTCTTCTACAGGTGAGACATTAAAAATATGACATATACTTTTATATATACAATAAGTTCTGCATGTGAAGGAGGAGTGTTCATTATTCTAGTCTGTCATTGTCGGCACTCCCAGCGGTGCGGCACTTTCGAAACCATAATTTTATTAACATTGCGTTGACGACACCTGCTCACTTCGTAGTCCCAGCTCGTCTGTTGCGCATCGGACAATACCCCGGGCGTCTCTGCAACTCTTAATAATATCATCAAATCACAGAACGTTTTACAAAACCGTTTCATATACACACATATATACATAGAGTGGGATCGATTTGATCCCATACTTGTGGTCTCACATCCCAGTGGCCACAGATGTGAAAACAATCTATTTGTCTTGCTCTTGCTTAAGGCATGATCTGGCTTCAACAGAGCAAGACAGGTGGACGTTGTCTACACAGACCTCTTCAGAGCATAATTCGATAAAGCCATCATATATACTCAGTATACTTGCTTAGGAATTATTACATCCAAGGCTGTCTCTACAATGGGTTTCAAGTTATTTCAATGGTCCGAAGGTCCGAAGCAGTTAGTGTAAAAATGAGCAAATTCTGTCTATATTGTAGTCCAATCAAGTGTACCACGGGCATCGTAATTGGGTCGTCTGTTCTTTACTCAAGTGACAATTTTAGTAATTGTATCTGTAATTTCATTAACTCATGTAACTGATTGTAAATTAGTCAAGACAATACATAATATAGACAGACATCTAATCTACCCGGTTGGAATTTTGCGAAATGTGTTGTACTTGATACCACGTTTACTTTAATGCAACATGTTAACTACGATGCATCATGAACCAGAAGTCAGCTTGGTATGTTAAACATTCTCAGGCTAGAAAAAGGCCTTTTTTTGAGTGCATTGTTATCAATGTGAATATCCTTTGTAAGAACCGAGCTCGAATATTGGCAAATTCAGACAGACTAGAATCAGGTCACTGAAGCTTTTTAAAATACTTGTGTTATGTAAGCAAGTATATTATTGATGGTTTCAATTATGATGATTTATCAGTGAATTTAATCTAGCTTTCTTAGGTGACAGTCTGGTGTCCAATTTGTTATCTCCTATTAAATCATCAGTAAATACACATTTTGACTGCTAATCGATGTTTAGCCTTCTGAACGAAACACCAGACATATGAAAGTGTGATGATTCTAAACGCATTATTAATCGTTTACCATGTCTTTTTAATCCTTATTCATCTCGATATACATTTTAAAAGCTGTGCCTTTTATTTTGTGTATCACTGGTTATATATTACAACTAATACGATCAGTACTAAAACGCCGATTATCCTATTGAAGTTTAAATATCTGTATCTGTGTTGGAGTTATAATAATTTAGTAAATAAATCTATACTTCACTGGACTTTAAGTAACAATTATACGTATACGGATTTATAGTACTCCTTAGCACGGAAATATATTATATTACAGGTAGATGACCGATATTCAAAAAAAAACGATGAATACGTTTACCGGATATTGTCACGGATATACATTTCTTGCATAATCTTCAATGAAATCAAATGCAATAAATTAGAATTCAAGATTTGTTAAACGAAAAAGCAAATTAACTTTCTAAACATACACATCAGACTAAGAATATAACGACTATTCAGTTAAATTCCAAAAAAGCCAAGGCAACGAACCCAGCAGAAGAGGCAGCTGTTACGGAAGGTCTTTAACACTATAGAATGACATAATTGTATGAGTCATAACTAGGCCAACAAAGTCTAAAGCGCCGATCACACACCCTCCCTCATTATAATATGTAACCGATACACTCTATAGACGATGTCCATTACAGATAACGTACAGAGTTAGACATCGAGAAATAAAGATGATAAAGCTCTAGACGATATACCTGGATGTTTTGTTTGAGCATTTTTTTTTGTCAAAAGAATTGTACTAGCTTCAACTACTTACAATATCCCCTGAAACCATCAGATGGATTAGCCAATCCAATAAATATAATCGCATGTTTAGTCGTCTAATGGTATGTTGGATGAGGTTTCAGTAAATGTTTTCATGTTTCAATAAAAAATATCTTTTCCACTATTGTTGTAGTGAAGAAATAATTCACGTACATACACGTAAATAAAACGAGAATTGCAATACAGAAAGCTTTAGTAACGGCCTGTAATCCCGCTACCGCATAGGTCTCGGAACACAGTGTCTTCAACGTTTATTAAAATTATTGTGGACAGTCGTATACGTTGTAACATTATTATATCTAACAGTCAATCAGATTTGCACATTTGTCGTATTAGTAGTTCAGCCTTTGCGCTAGACGTTACAAATGAGCTAAAATTAGTTGAAGCGTTTTTTCAATCAATCAAGCTAATGTGTGTTCATGTAACATGTCCTGGTCATCATGATAGTATTCACAGTCCATTATTTATTTTATTTTACGACAGAGCAGAGGTCTCACCTTGTACCAATTCTATATGTGGATGGCGATATCTTGCACAGATACGAGTACCATCATCCATAATTATCAGTTGGTTTTTCGGTCTACCACACTCTTTCCAGTTAGGTGGGTGCATCTCTCTAACCGCTTGATGACGTACAATGGAAGCCCACCGTGATACATCTTCATCACTTAACCCTAGTAAATGAAGTTCGGAAAAAAAGGGTTAGAAAAACTACATACTAAAGTACATACTAATGTACGTTCATTGACATGTATGATAAAACTACTGCCTCAAATTGCAAACCAGTTTTCTAGACTTTGAATAAAATTACTGAAATAAAAAAAAATAATAAAAAAAACAGTTGTCAGTTGTCAAATTATTGTTTGTGTGTGCATTCTCATTCACACTCAATTTCAGTTGTCTCGCATATTGAATTATATTTATTCTACTTATATGCCTGCAATTATTTACATAATACATAGCAGTTGTTATAAACCGAAGTTTCGTGAAAATTATCATAAAACGACAAGAAAACAAGTTTCCTTGTCTTACCATGACCTAGACGTGTGCAATTCGTCATTACCTCTTTTGAACTGCCGTTCGATGGACTCAGACCAGTATATGCCATCTTCAATTATCTGACTTCTTTTTAATGCTTGATTGCTCAGAAAATATTGCTTAAGTTCCGCGTCGAAATGTTCATACGGATATTTTGCCACCTTTGATGAACTTGGGATTTTAGAGTTATTCGGCGGCCGCTTTCCATTAGACGACTTGTAAGGCTCGTTTTGATTAACACTGATTTTATACATATCTTTACTAAGATCATACTTTAAACTTCTAAGACTTCTCGACAATTCTTCATCTTTGTTGGACTCATTCGCCTCCCTAATTTTGTTGGCGTCTGCTGAATATGTTTTATTAATTAAAATGTCGGTTGACTTGTTTTTTATCAATTTGGTGTTATTGGTATAAGTCATAGCTCTCTTAATGTACAGCAAGGCATCATATCGGTTGCCAAGCCGTGACATCCCTTCTTTCAGCTTCTCGACAATTTCAGGTGAAAGTGGTTTCTTCCTTTGATTCGCTCTTTTGAAGTATTCTTCCCATACGCTGTTGTAGCTCTCCGCAGTGGGTTCATTTGTGTTAGATAGGTACATCCATAACATTCCGACGATCGATATGGTGGCCACAGATTTGATAACCAAAATCAGGTATGATCGGTAGCGTCTTCTTCTCATCTCACGGTCGGATCAGATCGGTCGCCCGTTCGACATTCCACATAACAAAATAATTTGCATACCTGCTTGGCAGAAAAGAGTTTTCAGTTACAGTTTGTCATGGCTATACAATCTCACGCAATTCACTGGAAACAACTCAACAAATGATAATAATGTAACATTCATACATGAAATTTAAACTGGAAAATTTAAATCAGAACATAAACGGGTGTCAACCACTACCGTCGGTGGTTTGCGATGTTCAAGCAACAACGTTCTCCAAGCCTCAATAATAATCTATTGGGTATTTATCGTCAACGCAATACGTGAAAATAAACCGTGATAATAATAACACCAATATAAGTCTTGCTACCAATCAAATTTACATAAATTGTCAGTTAAATCATAACTGCACCACCGACACAAACTACCGAGTTTAGTTTTGTGATTCTTAATTTCCGGTCATTACAATCGAATCTATGTTGTGTCATTTAGTTTCGTCAGTATTTTTAAAAGTAAATTATATAGTTTTTTCTGCATTTCAGGTCTTACAGAAAACTAAAACACAATATATGCTGCAAAGGAATTTGTCACGTTGTTGCGAAAATTAGCTCTATTTTTCGAACTATAAAAATTTTGTTTATATCGGAAATAACCCCAAACAATTAGCTACAATTTATGTTGATTAAGTTAATATTACTTCACAAAAATATCCGGTCAATACTAAAACATAATAATGTAATTAAACAGCAAATTAAGGGAAATTAAAATTAACGGGGGGTGCCACGAACAGCGCCATCGTCCTCCCCCATTTGGCATTATGCAAATGAAAAAAAAAGTGTTCAGACTGAGCTATTGACCAAACATTAATGCAATATTTATTGACGCTACTCACGCAGCTTTTAGCAGAACATAGCACAAATTAGTTCGACACATGCCATTATCCATATTGATTTATGTAAACGTTCTCAATTATTCCGAAGCCATCACGGCAGTTTCTGATTCGGAATTTAAATTTCATAACTAAAGCAACGATCCATCAAACCCATTCCTGATTTTTCCCATAATGAGTTCATTATCGAACAAATGTATGACACGTGACCTGTGACGTCACCTATTCGTTAATATTAAAGGGCAAACTCGCTTTTGTTTGAGCCTTATTAAATACACAGATTTAGTTTTTTTCAAATTGTATACTCGGAAAGAAACTGTGTTCAAGTACAACACCTGCTATTACGACGTGGTCATTAACATATTTTACAATTTACAAGTTGTTCAAAGAATCATTAAAATGAGCGAATAGTATTAATAGTTGATTCCGCCATATCG